GCTCCGGGTGTATATTGTCGCACATAAGTCTGAAGGGCAGTGAGATTCTGAATTGCTAACTGAATGGTTTTTCCCTCACCGGTGTGATCTGGGATGTAAGTGCAGCATGTCTCACCTATGATTTTACAGACGCCACCAGGAGTTTAACTGATCGATGTGTTTGATGTGTGAATCTTGAAGGTGGAATGTAATCATGTGTGGATCCCGGACAGAACGGTAGCCATGTTATTATTCCCCAGATTATGAAAAACAAAAGGATTACGGCAGAGAAACGACAAAACCAGTTAGCACATGCATCATTCCCAACATATGTGTACAGTCTACGTCTCGGGGTGTAAGGTGTCATTTTAAGTGTTAGTGATGTGTATTGCAGCCTGTCACAACAACGAAGTACATACTTAATGAAACTTGCTTTGACATTCTTCATGCAGATGCAGTATTTTTCCACTACAAAGTCTTTACTCTTTGCCAATACAAGAATATCTGAACTTCAGCAGCCAGAGGTAGCCAAATCTAGTCAGTGTCTACTGAAGTTACAAGAGCTTTGATGAAATTTCTTCTGGTGTTAATATCTTTGATCTGCAGCTCAGCAAGGAAACACTTGTTAGGAAAGGTTTCTACTGAAGAGAGTGTCAGCTTTGATTTAGTCTAACTCTGTTGGAGCCTCATATTGGCACCAGGAAAACTTTGGATGATATTAGTACAGAAAAAGGAACTGTGGATTTTGTCTTTCACTACTTACACTGGACAAAAAAGTAGGAAGTGTGAAGAGGAGAAACTCTTTGCTTTCTTTGTTCAATTTGCACCACTGTGGTTTGAAACTTGAATTATTGTTTTTATTTATTTTACAAAGGGATGATCATCTCTTAGTTTAATCTTGATAAATGTTCATGATTGTTCACATCTGGGTTTTGAGTTTGTAGTTGGACACAAAACACAGAAACGGAAAATTATAGTATTGAGTAATTTTAGAATTTTTGTACAAAAATTTAATTCTGAGGTCACAACCCAAACATGAACAACTGAAAGACAATTCTAACTATCAAGTAATTACAAGGAAAATGATAATGAAAGTTTTAGACCCATTTTTCATTTGACTCATTTTTATGGTGCGAATTGAATAAAAAACTGCAAATGACTCCCACATCTATAGCTCATCACTCTGCAAGAGATGCAGTTCCCTAATCGGTTTCTTCTTTTCAACATGTCCTTCCCTGAGACATCAATGATTAATAAATTTAATAAAACTTTTTATTAGCTCACATTTTAAACTTCTGTCTCATGCTGATGTATAACACAAGCTCCATTATTTTCTCTTTACATCTGTTGTCATTATATTCAAAGTTCTACATTCAAACAAGCTACGTACAACCTACGAGTGTGGCTACAAACATTCTACAAAGGTTCCTATTTTGTCTTAAGCACTGAATAATCTTACAAAAAAACGCTTTCTTTCTTTCCAGAGGACACAAAGACAATAAAAAGTTTAGATAGCTAAGGTAGTTCTGCTGTGATTTAATCAACACCTGTGGCATTGTCTTCCTGAAACGTCAACCAATCAGAAACAAATTACTGAGTAGCAAACAACAGAGAGAGATGAAGAACGAGGTGAAGAAAATAGATGAAAGGATCTGAAAGGTTGGAGTGTGTGTAAAGCTTTTGCTTTGATTCACACTGCCAAACACTGATCAAATGAAGCCAGACTACACATGTGATTAGATCACAAGCCTCTCCTACAGTTCCCAGGCAGATTAAGTGACAAACAACCGCACCTTATCCCAATCCTCATCCTTCCCTCACCCACGGGGTCGATCGGCTTTGACCCAGAGACTCCTGACAAACCCTGAACATCAGAGACTGTAAGAATCTGTAGCTCATCTCTTTTGCTTCCCTCTGGTGTTTGTTTCTGTGAACTACAGCAACCTCCCTCTGGCCATCGCTATCTCCATGCCCATTGTGACTGTGATCTATATCCTGACCAACGTGGCCTACTACACCATCCTCCCCATCAATGCCATCTTAGACAGTGATGCTGTAGCTGTGGTAAGTTCCCTTCCATCCTCAATTACTTAAGCTTAACATTTATATTCAGCTCTTGTTGAAAACTCCACTGTCCTTTCCCCGCAGACATTCGCAGACCAGGTGTTTGGCGTCATGAACTGGACTATTCCCTTGGCTGTGGCTCTGTCTTGCTTCGGTGGACTGAACGCCTCCATCTTGGCTGCCTCCAGGTGACTGATTCTACCCTTTTATAATTATATTAGTGCAATGTGCAGTCACTTAATCCCTGCATTATCAAAACCTCCCTCATTGTCATGTGTCAGTCAGCAAGCCCCCATCATCACCACCTTTATTTTTGTGTCTCTAAAGGCTGTTCTTCGTGGGCTCCAGGGAGGGCCACCTGCCCGACTACCTGTGCATGATCCATGTCCACCGCTACACTCCCATCCCCGCCCTGCTCTTCAACGTCAGTCATCTTTTCTTTTCTGTTTTCCAGCTTTATTGAACACTTCAGTTTGACCACCCATGCTCATATTTCTTGTGCTGCTCATCTGCAGGGCTTCATGGCTCTCATATACCTGTGCGTAGAGGACGTCTTCAGGCTGATCAACTACTACAGCTTCAGCTACTGGTTCTTTGTTGGTCTGTCCATTCTGGGGCAACTATATCTGCGCTGGAAGGAGCCAGACAGAAAGAGACCCCTAAAGGTAATGCAGTTAATGCCCCATGGCTGGGCATTTCTATCTGAAAACACAGATTCAAACTTCCAGGGTTTCCTACATAACAAACCTAAAGACCCAATCCTATGGGCTTACAGGGTGGGACTTTCTGTATCATGATTCCTATTCAGAATCGGTTTTCGGCTAAACAACTGCAATATTACAACTTGGCAGTGTGTAGAGTAGTTTTAAAGTGTTTGAGCAGAGTTGTAGGTGAGCTGGTGTGCTCAAGCTGCAGCAAGTGGGAAGGGGTGAATGAAGAGAGAGGCAGAAGCTTCATAAAGTTGCACATTCTAGAGTAAGTAACAGTGTGGTTCCATATAAGTCATTTTAAGGCAGGAAAGAATTAGTTTCATGAAAAAGACAAAAACAAAATAATACAAATTTTTCCACATATGCAGTAAAACATGTAGAAATAGCTACATACGATTTTAAAAAGCTGCTACAAACATGAAAAATAAGCATTACAAATTATACTTTGAGGAAGTGTTCACTACAGGGACAATGCAAGACCACAAAACCAGGCTCAAAACAAAGAAGAGGTTTCTATCTTGGTCAGGATCAGCTCAACCAAAAGCTGCATGTTTAGTTTTTTTTTTAACTATGGTGCTACAGAGCTGATGATTACCAACATATTACATTTTTGTTTGAATATATTTATTGCGATTATTAAAATCACCATCTCACTATGATCTTCTCCTTTTTGTTCCTCAGCTCAGTCTGTTCTTCCCCATCGTTTTCTGCCTCCTCACCGTCTTCCTGGTGGTGGTGCCTCTCTACAGCGACACCGTCAACTCTCTGATCGGCATCGGCATCGCCCTGTCAGGAGTGCCTGTTTACTTCCTCTGCTGCTACACTCCGGCCCATAAAAGGCCGCTGTGGCTACGGAGCTTCATCGGTAAGGCGGGGTGCAAGTTTCGCAAGCATCCAGTTGCTGTTTAAGCATTTTAAGTGCTATTATTATTATCACACCAAAGTAGATTTCTATACATGGTGCTACTTCTTAACCCTCTACCTGTGGGTAAATCCAACGTAGTTATTTCTGTGAAATCTTGCAGCTGACCGTACTATAACATCTATTAACTTGCAACACTAATGTGCAATATATTACTCGGTACAGTCGTGCCACAGTGTATTTCAACACATATTAGAGTTAAGATTAAGGCCCCATTTGTTGGATATTGTTTGCTTTTGTTTTTGTGATTTATGTGACATGACTGCTGGGGCATTGCAAAATTATTGATTACATTTTATATGTCTAACAATTAACTACATATACTGAAATACATTGCAAGAAAACCATTACAGGTGAATTTTAAAAATATAAGGCATGCTTAGTTTGAAAGTGGTGCTGTATTTTTGTTTTTAATAGCACAAACTTAAGCTCTTATTGTTCTAACCTTCCTCCTGTTGCTCTTTCTTTCAGCTAAATCTGGCATAGTAATCCAGAAAGTGTGCTACTCTGTTCTGACGGAGATGGACACCGACAAGGCAGAGTAGAGGCGCCCGATTTGGACACCCTGCCGGAGACTGACAACTTGGGAATGTCAGACTGAACTCATCTCGGCCAGTCGCTCCTTCCACAAGGCCTCAATGTGGACGAACATTTGGGCTTGAGCTGAACCCAGCTCTCTGACCTGCCAAACATCACCCGGTGATAATGTTAATGAATGTGTGAATGATGGCACCCGGGTGCTTGTTGGCAAAACTAACTGACCACAACATCAGAGTGAACACTTTAATGGACTCCTGAAGAAATCATCACCTGTTTCTATTACAGAACTGTATGTACCAGTAGAGGATTATTTAATTGACATGCCATATGAGTATTTTGTGTGAAATGACAAACTTGTAATGCCTTTTTGATATGACTAGAAGTTGACAAATTATGATTCTAACTGTTAAAGAGCGCGTTGACACTGAAAGCACTGCTGACCGTAGAAACAGCCTGAATAATAACGCACAACGAAAAACAAACATCAGAAGAAAGAAGATGACAAAACTCTTCATTCTTTCATCTTGGGGAGATATTTCATGAAAGGTTTTAGCAGCAATGTCTAGTGAAGTAAAGGGCTATTTTTACACAATTTAACTCATTCTTCTGCGCTGTCTGACTCAAACACGGACTGTTAAATGTAAGAAACAGTTGAGCTGCAAACACGTATTTATAATAAAATTACTTGTTCACAACATAAAATGACTCGTTTCTTTCATTTTGCTCCAAGCACAAGGATAAAACGACACATGTAATCACAATATCACGACAACAGACACCAAAAATGGTTGTTTTGAGGCAAAGTTGACATTTTAATTTGAATAATACATAGCGACAACTCTTTCCCAACAACACCTCCTCTCTTCTTCTATCCATAAATATGTACACAATTCATTATACCATCAAGCTAACAGCAAAATCAGATTTATCCAATCGTGTCCTTCCATGGCCTCGCCTTGGCTACAGCTTGTTTGCCTTTGGTTGACGCTGCAGCGATGGGAGGCGTCTGCCGGAGAGGACTGTGGGTGAAAGTTTGCCTCAGTGGACCTGCACAGAAAAATGGAAAGGACTCATTTCAAACAAACTGAAATATGTGTATTTTAGCATTTATTGTAAAAATACACAAAATAGCACCCAAAAATAGTGGATGCAGCAAAGTTTTACTTGAATCACCAGTTATGTTCTCAATTAATCATCTGGCTGTAAACAGTGAGAAAGTACATTACAGGAGACAAGACTTTAGGAATTTATCAGGACAGCTGATGGCTGCTTAAGTCTAAAGGTTGGAAAAAAAATAACTTAAAAGCAATAGAAATACATGTATAAGATACTCACTGGGTCAAGGTGCTGCAATCTCTGCAAAATTCAGGATTCCGACTTGATAAAGTCTACATTCACTCCTTCAAATATTCATGCTTTCTCACTTTCTGACTTTGCGAGTGATCCAGCCGTGGAAGTTTAATAGCAGCAAACTTTAAAATATGTAAATCTGCAACACTGAGACTGAAGCTGCAGGAGGATAATAAATGTCTGACTCCTGAACTGCAGCCATTAAAGTCAAATAAAAAAACAAAGCAAGACATTTGTTCAGTGGGATCACTATTCACTGTTTAAAAGAGAATAACAGATTCAGGTAAATAGACCATTTTCAATTATATTTGCTGGTTCATTATCACATGTAAATTGTTTCCTTACCAATGTTTTTGTGATTTACAATTGTTTGCAATAAGTCAGCACAGCCACAAGAGGGCGCATCTCTCCTACACTTGGAGTCACTTGAACATGTCAGTTTTGTATTTTTGCATTGTATATTTTGCATTCTTTTTATAAAGCCCATGACTCCTTTAAAGCCAGCTGTCAGTAGCTTTTCAACAGTCTAACATCTTTACATGCAGTTCTGAAAAAGCTACTTACTTTCTCAAAACTACAAATCCAACAGGTAGCTTTGAAAAGTTTGTGTGATGAATTATATCATACAATATCATACGCTGTAATCTTTCACATGGCAGTATACTCTTTTTTTTTTTTTTTTACCTTTTTCTTTCTTTATTCTCATTTAGAGTAATTTTTCTGTGGCATATAGCTGAAAAAAAGTCTAATAAACTAAATGTTGGAGCTGCTGATGCAGTGGTGGAACTGACCTTTTGCAGCAAGGTCCAGATGATTTTTTATCCGTCTTTCCCTCTCTTCCAGCTGTTGGGCCAGCTGTGCGTTCTTCCAGCCTAAAGACCCAAAACAATTACAACAAGGACAGAAGAGAAAAAATCAGAGTTGCAACTTTTTTCTCGTTCTTTGAATTTTTTTTCTTTCTGAGTGAATCAAAGAAAAAAATGCATATTATGGTTTAATATTACTACTAAAATCTAATCAATCCGATGTTCCACAATAGTATTGATCTGAAACACCAACCCTTTTTCATGCTGTCTAATAATCCGTCCTGTTGGGGCATGACGGCGGCTGGGTGCTTGATCCTCTCAGGGATCTTGAACCTCTGTCTGACTAGGGGGTGTCTGAGCAGAGCCACTTGAGCCAGAGAGAAGCAGTTTGAGGTCAGCCAGTAGGTAAACACCGCCTGAAGTTTGGTGGAGGAAAAAGTTGAGGTTAGAGATATAAGTGACGTTTCGTGATGATGTAAGATGAAACAAGTAGGAGAGGAACAAAAACATGCGAGTCAATAACAGACTGACCGTAGGGAAGTTGATAGTGAGAGGGAGGATGATGAAGGGCATGATCCTGAACACAGTCTTCATGGCGCGCAGATTGGGGTTGTCAATACCAGACTCCGCACCCAGCTGAAAGAACAGAAGACACTTGTTTAGTACAGAAAAGCACTGAAGTACAGATTATCTTGATCAATATTATTTAACATTTACTCTCTTTTCTGCTGCTGTGTTTGTTTTGGAAAATAAGACATTTCAAGTAAGAGCTGCCTCACCTCCAGGATGAAGAACATGGTTCCGGTGACAGCGAAAGGTAGAATATAGAAAGGATCTGCTGCTGTCAGGTCTGTAAACCAGAGCAGACCTCCTGTCTGCAAGCCCGGCACTGGCAGATAGGCCATCTTCCTCAGTGCGATGAAGAAAGAGATGAAGACTGGTGCCTGAAGAATATTCACAGTGAGTTGCTCTGATCGTAAACAGACACTAAGACTAGACAGAAAAGGGGGAAAACCTGCTAACAAAGCTTAAAATGTCAAAACCCTAATTTTTTTGAGTTTTAAATTTGTATGGAGCACATTATGAATGGCTCAGCAGGTCCTCCAGTGTTTTCACAAATGGCTGCGCTCAAGAAAAATAATATCTGAACAAACACAACGGTTCTGATGAAACTGGTATTCACATTTCCTCTATTGGCAAAAAACACAGCAGACGCTAGAATCCAATGTACAGACTCTATCTATAGATTTTATGTAAAGGCTGTGAATTAATCGGTACGCTCTAGTCCCCTTTTGTCCTCTGGAATTTACTTTCTTTAAGCTGATTGTACTAAAATCTATAAACAAGTCTGTCAATACCAGGTCAGTACATAACATAAGAAATCACACACACACCCAAGATGTGCAAAACACCTTTTAACAGCTGTGAAGCTCACATGAATATTCAGAGATAATGAAAACTGAGTTCATGTTTCTGAGTACACAGTATTAAACAGAAGATGGAGCAAGTGCCACATTTCTTCAACCTGTTTTTAAGGTTTTTTTACAGATGATTTTGGTGGATTTTCCAGTCTGTATTTAAGGAACAGTTTAAGAGTGACATAGTGGTGGGGAGGAGAGAGGGAGAATGACACACAGCAAATCAAGTCCATGGGTCACAATCGATCAATGTCTGCTGTGGTGGGAAGCCAAGCAGGCAAGCTATCAGGGCGCCCCAGTGTCACTTACTTACTTATTTACATACATATTTAAACTGTTAAAAAGAAATCATGCCATTTTATCACGTCTGAGCATGACTGGAAAATGGTGGAGGTGTCATGTTTAGAAATACTCTTAAATGTCACTGTGAGGGCTGTTATGGTCATGAAATGATCGTAATTGCAGTCAGTAATTGCATATCAAATGCAGTTGGCTGAAAAATCGGAACTTAAGCACCTTGAAATAAACAGTCAAAGAAGAAAGCAAAAAGCAGGCTGATCCATATAAAGAAATCAACAGACCTGCACTAAAGGAACCAGGAACCCACGCAGAGGATTCACATCATGCTTCTTCTGGAACAGGTTCAGCTCAGAGTATGCTTTGGCAACTGCAACAGAAAAGTAACAGCTCATGATAGTTGAAACATCTACAGTGCGACTGATAAAGAAAATGCAATGGAAAAAAGAGGAATGAACATTTACATTCATATTTGTTTCCACTCTGTTTGGCCTCAGTCATTTTGGTGGTCAGTTTGGTCATTTCAGGCAGCACGTTGTTCAGCTTGGCCGCCTCTCTCTGGCCCTTCACTATGACTGGAAACACGGCCAAACGAGCCAGCACTGTTCCTATACAAAGTAAGAAATGGAAACATGACCTTCAGAGATTCACACAACCTCCCTTGTCTACGTTCCCAGACTGCCTCAGAGTTAAAATGACACTGATATACAGTATATTGACTTTTGTTGGGCTGTGCTTACCTGCAACAATGGCTCCCCACCAGGGCAGACCAAGATCCATGTGCATGTACTCTAAGAGGTTCTGGATGAGTCCCACTGGTGTCATAGCGCCCAATCCCAGCTCTGCTAACCTCGGTTCTGTAGCCACAGCCTGCAGGACCTCGACTGCAGTTGGTGCAGCATCAGCCACCTGCTCAAGGACCGTGGGTGGTAAAACAGGGGTGGGGTCAGCGGACACAAGTGTGGGGGAAGAATCCAGGACTGGAGAAAGAGCAGCGCTGTCCGCTACTGGTGCCACCACAGAAACAGTTTCAACTGGGATCTGAAAATGTCAATAACAAAAACATCATATGATTTAGGCTGATATGTAACACAGACCCTCAGGTAGATGGTTTGATTCAGATGTAGTCTCAGCCACCTGTTCAGTGATTGGTTGTGTGATGGTGGGGATGGGGCTGTCAGAACCTCCTACCAGTGGAGCCGCCATGGATCCATCCTCAGGAGGGATCTGTGAGTGTCAAGACAAGCTTAGCATATCAGTAACAGGTAAATACTGATTTAAGAAATACATTTAACACAGATTTCAATTTCACATTTTTTTCTCTGAAATGGAGTCAGTTTACTTGGTACAAAAAATATTTAAAATGTGAACTAAAAATTCTACTTACACTTTGAAATCCAACAGCTCACAATGTGTAGTATACAGTGAGAGGTTATAATTTACATCTGTCAGATTTTTTCATGCTGCTCAACTGCTGACAAAGTGGGAATGTCAGTAATTATAATGGTCCATTGTGGCCACTACTTCAAATCTGCGTTTGGCACTATTTTGCACTATTTACTGGATGAGCAACATGTACTTCCTACAGTCATAAGAAAGAAAACTGTGTATCACGTGATGAAAGATTATATTTTTGCTGGTCACTCCTTATTCGGTTTTGTGAGGAGGCCGATTCTCATCAGGGGCAAACAGAGCTTTGGGACATTAGCTAGAACTGTTATTGTTTTATGATACATCACACTGTAAAATACAGGATACACAAAGTCTAACAACTGTCTAGAATTTGCAATATATGTGGCTTGTTGCACTTTCGACAAAACAGATGTAAAATCTTAGATTCAATTTTTTTTTTTAAATGGAGCAAATAAATATTTAAAACTCAATAAAACCAAATTCAAACCCATTATTACCAATACTGATTAACTGTCAGTTCTTTTCACAAAGGCACAACACACCATACTAGATAAGTTAAGAGCAAAAATACTTTTTTTCATCTTCCGCCAAACTTAGTTCAATGTGTGACAAGCCTTCACATAGTAAAATAAATGATGAATCGGTGCTACCTGTGTGTTAACTCACCTGTGAGCTGTTGTGTCTGACTGCCACAGCGTTCACCCAGAGGAACTTTCCATGGTGTCTGCGGCCCAGCAGAGTCCTTGTGGCTGAACTGCGGCACTCAACCACAGTGTGTAGATGGGACCTTTGGAGCAAATGCTGCTTGGACACCAGGAGGACAGAGTTTCAGCCAGATGCACAATTTAAACAACAACCTTTACGCAATAAAGCAATTATTTAACAGAGAAGTAATCAATAAATGTGCTGATATTAAATATTTACTTCATCTATCAAGCAAGAAGCCTACATTATCCAGTTACTTTTCTAATGTCACCTCAAATGTAAGAACGTCCTGCTTTTAATGATAATTTAAATGTTTGGGTTTTGTACTGTGGGTCAGACTGATTGCTTGCAGAGCATAAGTTAATGTAATTGTGCATTTTCCATTTTGAGGTACCATGAACATGATTTCCAAAGTAAACTGGCTACGGTGGTTGAATTTAACATCTTTTCTCCCTGCTGGTCTTTGTTAAAATTGGGTCAATAAAAATAATAAATTACTTTTGATATCAACTTAATATTGGCGCTTTTTTTTACAGCTGTATGGCACAATCCAAATACTACTTTTTCCAACACTTTTATGATGACTGTCTGAACATTTAAAGCTATAATAAGCTACAGAAGCCTACCATCTTATAACCAAAATCTAGTGACAAACAAAAACAGATGTGCAGCAGGTTCAACTTTAACCACAGATACAGTGACCTCTGGTGGCAGCAGGTGATTCTTACTAGTTATTTAACTCGGCAGAGTTTAACACCGCTTCACCCTCAAGGCTCAACGCTTAACTCATATTGGAGTTGCCTCAGTATCTTTACGACTGGAGGAATACTGTAGTGGTTGTTACCATAGCTGAGGGTTGCTATGAAAGCCCGGCTAACATGTGAAGCCACACAGATTTAGCGTTAGCCACACTTAAACACATTCAGAAATCTACTCATGGTCTTCAGCACCTCTTTCAATGCTTCTTGCTAAACTGTCCTTGCCGTTTTGACTTGGAGGCCCAGTGAACTGACAATTTTATTAAACATTAGGAGGCCTTGTCTGTCCTGCAGAGGCTGTTACTGTCAAAGTCACACAGAAGACATGCACCTAGCTACGCAGTGAGGATGCTAGCCGGCCAGCGGGTTAGCCGCAGAAAGCCGCTAATTGTGTGTTTGTTCCAGGAGCAGAGACAAAATACAACAAGAGAAATTGTAAAGAACACCTACATGGCTCCAAACGTCTGAAAGAGGACGGCTGCCCCGGCTCGGTTTTCCAGTCTGTCTTAGGAAACATCTTGCTAAGCAGCCCGGAGTCACCCCACTCCTGATGGCGGCCATATTGGCAGGAAAGATACCCCGCTACGGAAAGCGTAAGCAGACAAAATTCCTGGCTGTTTACAATAAGCTTCGCGAAAGTTAGATGTTTATGTTTGGTTTCGCTTACTGGAGCGAGGAACTCCATATTGTGTCATTATATATACACATATAATACAGTTTTATACATACAGTGACCCAAACCTAAATGTCCCACACAGGGGGTAAATAAGATTTTTTTCCCCCTCATTTTTAGTCGTTGATATCATAACATTTGAATGCAACTTTATGCAGAAATTTACTTAAGAGCCATACATTATTTAGCTTTAAAACATTTTAAACAAAAAATCTTAAATATTTGATACTAAAATTGATGTTGTCTTTATGATCAAGGACAGTCTGTTACACACCAGTTACACATCCTGCATTTTTGTAGGCAAAACACACACACACACACACA